CCATTCCAGTCAGGCCAGGCATCTGAGGAGGCCTAACACCAAGAGAGGTCTGGTGGGAAAAAACTAAAAATCAGGCCTTCTCGGCAGTGGCCCCTTGCCTATAGAACAACTTGCCTGTAGAGATCCACCTGGCCCCCTTGCTGAGGGCCTTCAAGACTAACTTGAAGACATGGCTATACAGGCAGGCTTTCCCTCCAACTATTACCTAGCCTATCTCCCCCCCACTTTTTTTTGTTTTTGTTTCTCTTTTTCTTCTCTTTCTTCTTCTCTTCCTTTCCCCATCTTGGACTCTGTGATTAATTTGGATTTTACCTTAGTTTATTTTTATGTTATATGTAAACCACCCAGAGTAGACATGTTCTAGATGGGTGGTACAGTGGGGTCTTGACTTAAGAACGGCTTGAGTTAAGAACATTTTGACTTAAGAACCACTCTCATAGGAAAATATTGACTTGACTTACATACTTAGATTTAAGAACTGAAAAAAACCACGTGGGAGGCAGGGAAAATGCAAAATTTGAACTTTCAGTTAACTGTTGGCCAGTGAAAAGGGTGCCTGTCTGCTTCCTCACTCCTCCCAGCGTTTAGAGAGTGGATTGGGAGACAGTCTTCAGACTGCCTGGTACTGTACTGCCTGGACTGTATTTTCCCTGCCTTCCCTGAACCTTTCTTGACCTAAGAAAAAAAGAAACAAAATATCCCCCTCTAGTGGTCGAAGGCGGAATAGCAGCTTCCCATTAGTTTCTATGGACGGAAAAGAGCAGATACGGATCAAATGGTTCTCAATGCATTCCTATGGGAAATGCAGATTTGACCTGAGAACTTTTTGACTTGAGAACCGCCTTCCAATACAGATTAAGTTCTCAAGTCAAGACCCCACTGCATATAAATCTAATGAATAAACAAACAAATAAATAACTCACTGAACTATCCATTCAGTTGAATCATAATTGCCAATGGAATTTTCCACTTGACATTTGCAACGATAATGGGAACCTCTGGATGAACTTTTGAACCTAGGGAGGCATGAGTCCACATGTCGTTTCAATGCTGTGTGTGTTCTTGGGGAGGAAACTGTTGATTCAGCTTCATACCCCTCCCCTGGCATGTGAAATTAAAATTACTCTGGCCCTTCTCATAAGGATATTATGAAGACATGAATCTTGATCATAATGCTTATCATACTCCATATATATATTTTAAAAATCCTATTAATGCACATGTTGGCCCTTTAAAAAGTCTGGTATTTACTCCAAACCATGGACTGGAACTGGTATAGTAAGTAATGTAGTCAAACTTCTGGGGTAAACAAGTCACAACTCTAAATTGGGTAAACAAAGTAATGCTGTTGATTTCACCTTTCAGTTCAGGATTTGCAGCCCTGAATATCTGCAGACTGTGGATATGCAGGCATAAATAAGAAAGCATGCACAAAATAGGGCTAGTTAATGCAATCCTTGGTCAAAGTCTATGACGACAGTTGTTTGTTTCCATTTCACTTTAAAACCCCTGTTCCAGTAAGTGGGGGCCAAATTGTAGACTGAATGGTGCAGGCAAGACAGAAATGCTGTCAATCACAGTAGACTTGCAGACCTGGGCATTCTGTTTTATCTTTATTTTCTCTCTCTGTTTTTCCCTCCAGCTGTCAGGAGAAAGCCCATAGTGGCTTTGAAAGCCAATCATCCCAAATGGAGATCTGTTGTGTCCTTGATGATTTGACCACTGACTTCAGAGATGAAAAGTCAATAAGATTCATTTCTCGTAAGGCAAAGAACATGCCCTCTTTGGTTTTCTTGAGTTTTTCTTTCTCCCTTTCTAACTGCTATGTGTGAATGCCAGATATAATACAAAAGATTTGTCAGTGTGTTGCTCTATTCTCTTAACCCTCTGGGCTCTTTGTTTCATCCTGGATCACCTTAGAAATACCCTGATAGCCAATCCTGTTTGTTTTTACACATTTGTTTGGAGACAGTCAGTGTGTCTAGTGCAGTTGTCTTGGCAGGCAAGGAGGAGAGAGGGGCCAGCCTCTTGTCTGGCTTTCGACAAGAGCAGAGGGGTCATTCAGATTGTACCATGGTACCCTTGCCCAAGGATGCCTCTCTCCACTGTAGACCTCAAGACAGAAACAGAGAGTTTGTCTAAAGGACAAAAGCAGTGTGGCTGCTTATCTCCTAGCCAGGAGCACGTGGTAAAATCAGGCACTGATCAGTAGTCGTGCAAGACAGATGACTTAACTACAAAAGCAAGGTTTTGAGCAGTTTGTTTCACCTTGCTGGTGCATGCATTGCGTGCATGAATGTGCGCGTGCGCGCGCGCGCGCACACACACACACACACACACACAGAGACGGAGAGAGAGATTGGCAGCCATCTAGCTGATTTTCATCTACAGCATTGATCTACTTTCAACAGAATAATCATCATCATAGGCATCCTTCAGTCTCAAGAGACTATGGTAATGTGCTCTATATGGAGGACTTTGACACTGTATGTGAAGCTGGAGTGTCCACTCCAGAGCACAAAGCCTGGGTAAAATAATATGGAGGATAGGCTGTTACCCAAGCAGCAAATCCCCCCTCTCCACATCACTGAAATAGTCCAATGGAAATGCAAGAGCCAATGCAACTGGTTCCAGTGACATCGCAGAAGTTACCAGAATGACACGAACTGCCTCCGGGACTCTGGCTCCGGTTTTTGCCTCGAGGTTAATGCCTGAAGCCTTTTCCATCAATAGACATAGCCACAAGGCAGTGGAGGTTTGGAATCGGAGTTTTCCTTCTCCTAGATGGGCTGCCTTCCCAGGCTAACGAGTCCCACTACCCAACAGAATATATAATTTAATATAATATTTATTAATAAGCAAAGGTTTGATGCCACATTTCTTCCTCTGGATAAGCGTCTCTTGACATGGGACCCCACAAGTGTTCCAATCTCCTATTGGAAATAGTTTGTGCCATTGCTCATGAGCATTGCAAGTCTTTCCCCCACCCCACCCCACGCCCCCCTCCCTCTCACAATTGTCAATGAGGAGAAAGGAAAAAGAAAGAAAATTTTAAGGACTACAATAATCCTCTGTGCTCCCATGAAATGGGTGTACCACATCAACTCAGTCCTCTATAGAGGTGTACAAATTCATGTTTTTTGGACTGTGACTCTCAGAATTCCTCAGGCATCTATGCTGTGGAGAATTCTGGGAATTGTAGTTCCAGAACACAAATCTCCGTACCTCTAACTTTTCACATTTCTATCAGCTTTTCCTATCTACACTGAGGGCATACCCAGACATATTAACAGTACAACGCTACATATGGCTGGTGAAAAGCAAATGCTGCTACATTTAACTGGGCACACTCCCATCCACCTGTGTGCACCATTCTGTCTAATCTGTTCCTCAGATGCTCTGGAGCTGTCGAAGACTAAAAACGAGAAGGCCACTGTTCCCCTTGGTTTTGGGGCGTATGCGTGTTAAATGGTGTGGGGACACAGGTTTATCACAGTTCCTAGAAGCATCCAGGAATAGCATTTCACTTTTTTTCCTTTTCTGGGAAATTTCTTGGGGGGGGGGAACTCAAAGAGCCTTTGAACTGTACTTTGGTAACTTTGGATTGGAATCTACAACAAACTGCTATGTGATGTTCGTTTACTGTCAAGTGAATTGTGTTGCAAGATTAGCAGTTGTTTTCCATAAACTGATCTGACAAAGTAAGACTGTCTCGGCACTTTATATGGTTACTATCTTCATCACCTTTTGACTAAGGAAATTAATAAGTATGAGCTATAATAATGAACAGGTGAGCTACTTCATACTGTATCACTAGAAAACTAATAAGTATTGCACATAAACATTATCCCTGTTCTTCTGTTAGCAAGCAAAATCTTTTTTTAAAAAAAAAATTCCACCATAATTTCCTTTAGCTGTTCAAGGAAAGCACTTTAATGGACTTCTGTTGTACTGATATGTTTTTAATGCATTTGCTTTAAATTGTTTTTCATTCATTCAAATCTTGGAATCATGTTAAAATGCAGTTTAATTACATATAATAACACTTTGTTTCCTCTTTACATGTTCGTATCTGTATCTGTTTTACTCTTATATTTAGTTTAACCTAAATTTAATTTAATGTTTTCTGATCCTTGTTACATCCCGCTATGGAGAAAAGGTGAGATATAAACCAAATAAAACTCATGTAAAAATAATTAAAGACTGTACTTTCCCCTGTATGACAACTCCAAGGCAGATGTTTGGGGATTTTCCTGTTGTTTTCACTTTTTTAAAAAGTTAATACAGTGCTGCCCTGTAGCTCCACTTTCACAGACTGCCAAATGACCCAGTCATGGAGACTGGGTTCACCTGTCCAACAGGGTTTCTAGAATGCAAAAGCTTCTGATACATATCAATGTTGGTGGTGCTGTGACCTGTTCTCATTACATCAAGACAAATGTGTTTAAGTTGAGGAGTAGGCAGGGTTTGGAAAGCTATTTTTAAAATGAATTCATTATGGCACACGCTGCATACCTTATTACTGTTGCATAATGGTAATATTGTAGCTTTTTAGTCCTTTTGAAAAAGCCATCAATTTTTTTAAAAAAAGATTTAAATTCTGAGAAGGAAAATGCCTCAGAATGTTCCCCAAAGCATCCTGCTTCCCAAAACGGAAATGTAACAGTTGGCCAAAATCCTCTTCTATTGCTACACAAATGGCATAACTTTTGGGAGCAATCTGCCCCAAGAAATTACCACAGATGTTACCTAGTGTAACTAGGTAAGAGGATTTTCAGTACTATGTTTATAGAGTTACAATGCTAATCTTTTGCAAAATGAACATTATTACACTTTCGGTATCACAAGAACTAATGCATTACAGGGAATGCTGTTCATTATAACATTATTTCCAGAGTGGGACTGCATTGTGTGAATTAGGAGATCACCTTTTCCATATATATGTGTTCTACTGTTTCCCATCTGCCCACGTTACCACATCAGAATTACGGAGAACACAATACAGATAATATTAGCTTTATTGGCCAGCAACATCAAACTGCATTTAAAAGATGGTTATTGTATGAGGAAAACAGAAGAGCAGGCACAGATTGCTAAGTGACACAACTGCTCCTCTCTTACCACAGCGCAATGTGGTTCCCTAGGGATGAGGAAGGAAAAGAAAGCAAGTCATACTCTCAGCAGTATACTTCAGTAGTCAAATACTGTTCCAAGAAGTTGTAGTCAGTAGTTTCTCTTTTAGTTAATAATACATTTCTCACAAAGAAAGCACCGTAGGGGGGAATCAAGAAATAATTTCACTATCTATCTTGCAGTAATAGAGATAACTGTCCTCCTCTACCATCAGAATGTCTCAAAATCTCTCTCCTGCATAAACCTCTATACGCACTCATGACAGAAACTTTACCACCCCTTTTATTTCCACAGTTGCCTTCCAAATACTCTACAGGCTGGAATTTCATGGCCAAAGCCAAAAGGGCACTACCCTATTTGAACACACCTGTGAAAACGCAACCTGCTGTGCAGAAATTAATGCTACGAAAGTGTGTTTATATGAAGGATTGGCCCTGCCAGGGTCCACCCATGGCTAAAAATTGCAAACAACTCATCTATTATTAGAGGAATTGCATTCATTCGTTCAGATATTCTGCTGGAGGAAAGGCACATCAAGACAGCAGTAGAAATTATTGGGTGGCAAGGGATGGCCAGATTTGGATTTGTGATTGAGATCATATAGGCTGACACTGGGTTGGGGGGGGGACCACGTGTGTTAGACCATATGAATTCTCTTGAGATTAAGTCTTGAAAAGGCAAGGAAGCATCAGTTATACAACTGAATAGTTATACCATCATTTATACAACTGAATCTGAATAGGATGGCAGCACGCAGGCTGCTATCACAGCAACTCAACAGTATGAGAAGTAAATTTTAACTCCCCATCTTCCAGCTGCTGCTGCATTGAACATACAAATGAGGTATGGGAACAGGTGTTAACTGAAGAATGTTTGAGGCTGTGGTCAAATAGGAAAACATAAAACATTTTGTCATGAGCTATACCAATAGGATCTGGGCACCCATAAAGAGGCAAAAAATCCATGACCAGGGACAAGTTCCATGAAGACCTTTAGTACATATGCACTTATGGGAAGCCTAGCAAATTCAGCAGCAAGAGCCACTGCTAGGACAACCTCCTCTACAAGAGAGGAAGTAGGCACTGTGGGTGCTGAAGGCACCAAATAATGCTCTTTGCTTTATCGATTACTGCTGATTTTTAACAAAGGACACCCCCTCCCCAGCTCGATATATATTTTTAAATGAAGCACACTCAGTAAATTAATGAGAAAAGGGGAGAGTTCTGGGTCTCCTCGCAGTCAGATAACACCTCACTGGTTAATGAGACCTTGAAGATGGATACAAATGCTTGTGGCATATTTCCTCCCCAACTAAATGAGGTGTCAGTCTGGGAAAGGAATTTTAACTCGTGTGAAGAGTGCCTGCTTCACAAAGTGAGCTTATCTTGACAGCATTCTATAGGCAGGGAACCATTTTAACTGAAACCCACAAAGTTTCATCTTCTTGAAGGACAGACTAAGGCTTCTAATTAAGAGAACACGAGAATGCCCTCTGGCACCTGATTTGAAAGGCACAAGGCTTCTCTCTTCTTAAGAGGGCCTGCTTTCTAAGGAGAAGGGAGGCCCGGAGGAAGAAGCTGCTGACTAGTTAACCTAAGTCCATCCATCTCTCCAGTGTATCCACAAAGAGAACCAGAGAAGAGATAATAACCCAGCAGGGGGAGAAGTGGGCAGAGACAGCGCCATTCAAGGATGGGGCAGAACAGTCATCAGAACTTCCATAGGTCCAGAAAGCTACTGTTTCTGGGTTCAGGAAGAGAGCATTTAAACCCGCAACCTGCATATACCCCATACATCCTTGTGGCCAGTTGTCATCCCTCAGAGATCAGAGAGCCATTCATTAAAAGGCCATACCTGGAACCTCTGAGCCGCTAGCAGCCCTTGAATGATCTCTCTTTCAGGTTGCACACTGGGCCTGGCACGTAAAAGTTTTCTGCAGACAGGATTCTACAACTCCATTACTTTGGACTGCAAAGAAATGAAGGGGAGGAATGCGGGGCCTTCCCTGTTTTATATGAAAAGGGAAGGCTGCTCTCTCGGGCAGAGGCACACTGGGTGATAGAAGAATAAATTTCATGAAGTAGCAGAAGTCCTTGAAATGCTGATTTTTCCAAGCTGCCAGACGGAAAGTAGGTTGATGGGATGAAATGTGGTGGAGTTGAGTAGGTGGGTAGTCTTGAAGCTCCTAGTAAGGTTCTGATTTCAAGCTCCTATACAAACAGCAGGTGAAGATCATCCCAAAGATCTGGAAGGCAGACACAACACAGGTAAGGCATGGGCACAATTTCAGCCCTAAGGCAACATTCTGAGCACCTCTTCAGCCGGATCCTGAAGGGAAGCACCTTGGCTCCTCTGCAGTTCGAGTAACACCATGCTTTCAAGTCAGAAGTGCAGAGCGCCCAGGGTGGATGCAGAGGAAAGGGTCTGAACCACACATTTAATCCTTGGCTTGCTTTTGAGCATGGAGGAAACCTTTGGCCCTCTAGATGTTTTGGACCACAGCCCCCAAGCCTCTGAACCAGACTGAGGATGGCTGATGGAGGCTCCCACGTCTAGAATGCCAACGTCTCCCAATTCATGACTTACTGAAAGCAAAGGGACAAACTGAGCAGGAGCACAATTAGTTTGTACTAGGAAACCAGTAATAATTGCCATAGGGGCATTTCTTCTTGCATCCTTGTCTTTTATAATAGATATGAGAGAGAGAGAGAGAGAGAGAGAGAGAGAGAGCATGCAAATACACAAAGTCGATACAAAAGGGTCAGTCCTGAGTGAACTGTGTTTCAAGAGAGCAGATCTAAGAGCATGTGGAAAGGTCAGGGGCACTGTTTTTGAGGGTTGCTCTTTTCTAGCATTCAGATTTCATTTCATTTCTTTTTAGCAAAAGGGGAAAGAGCATTTGCAGAATTTAGTCTGCGAATGGGTAGGAAAAAAGAGGCACATGCAGCCACAGCAAAGTAGCAATTATAACTAGAATGTTCATGACGTAATAGTCACTGTGGGGTATTTTCAGTGCTGCTTAGAAATGCAAAAGAAGCCGCTTAGAACCCTCTCTGAACAGCTGCTGTTGTACTGCATTACCACTAGAGGATGCCTTCTGACAACATGAGCCGGTGTCTTCTGTTTTTCCACACCAATCCTTTTCTTAATCAACAGTACAAAATGTTTACCCATTCATCCATATCCAAGTGACCACAAATATTTAGAAGCATCCCAACCATAACATTTCTTCCCCCTCAACATTAGATACCAGCCCTTCCATTTACATATTAAGTGAAAAGTATGAGCAGTATATGTCACCGAAGTGTCACCGAAGTGTCAAAACAAGCACTTTTTGACCAAATTTGACCAAACTCCGGGAGGCAGTGGAAGACAGGAGGGCCTGGCATGCTCTGGTCCATCGGGTCACAAAGAGTCAGACACGACTTAAGGACTAAACAACAATGAGCAGTAATGGGGATAAATCAAGAGTCCCTGAATTTCATGGTGAAATGTAAAATTACGTGCAGAACAAATACACACACACACACACACACACACACACACACACACACACAACACACACACACACACACACACACACACACACACACACACACACACACACACACACACACACACACACACACACACATTGAAGCAACAATTGCTTCCATTACTGTTTCCTAATCTCTCTATGGTTTGAATCAGGCTTGTAAACATCTCCTCACACTGGTAGGAACCATCTCCCGACAAAAAAGGCTGAAAGAGAGTGCAACCTTTTAAGTCACTAATGATTAATGACACACATAAATTTAGAGAATATAGGCACTGCTGTTTGTTTAACTGATCTCTGAGAAGTTTCTAGGGTATCTTTTATGATAACCAATATATTCCAAGAAAACATGACAGCCACACATCATGTGGACAGAAATATCTTGCTTTGAAATGAGACACACAGAGGCAGGAACATTTCCATGCATAAGAAATACAACTCTAGTCTAAGTATTTGTGGGTTACAGAGAAGCAAGGTCAGAGCTGCCATTTATTTCTAGGACTCGTTTATGGCCTAGAAATAGAGCATTGCTGTCAGAGAGATCCTTCAAGCCTTTTTGAGGGCAATTTGTCCAGGTATCTTGCCCAAATCTAAGGAATACACTCCGGCATTGGCCCAAAACCAAAATAATGCCTCAAAATCTGCCACATAACTAAGTGCATTCATTATAGAGCAATAAAGGTAAAGGTTCTCCCCCTTGACATTTAGTCCAGTCATGTCTGACTCTAGGGCACAGTGCTCATCCCTGTTTCCAAGCCGTAGAGCCAGCATTTGTCCAAAGACAGTTTCCGTGGTCACGTGGCCAGCGTGACTAGATACTGAATGCTGTTACCTTCCCACTGTGGTGGTACCTACCGTATTTTTCGCTCCATAAGACGCACAGACTTGCCACACCCCTGTTCTGTGGGAAAAAAGTGAGTCTTATGGTGCAAAAAATACAGTAATTATCTACTTGCATTTTTACATGCTTTCGAACTGCTAGGTTGGCAGGATTTGGAACAAGTGAGGGGAGCTCAGTCCGTCACATGGATTCGATCTTACAACTGCTGGTCTTCTGTGGGTTATAAGTGGCAATAAATGCACTTGAAGTTTTTTTGTTTGTTTGGCTTAGATGCTCTCAAAACTTCAGGGAAATGAAATAGTTATTAAATGACTTGGTTAAAATGGTTGTGGAATCACAGTTAAAAAATAAAACACCTGAAAGGAAATGGTAAAGATTTCTTCTTCTAGAGTGGCATCCGGAGCAACTTTACTATTGTGATTCAAAAGGATGAACATGCAGCAGTTTTAGCTGAGATGTAGTGATTTTGGCAGCCACTGTGGGCTTTATATTTCCATTTTTTTCCTGCATTATAATGCCACAGAAAGCTCATTCATATATCAAGCTCTCTGTCCCGTAATGCTTGAGAACTTAGGATTTAGTTTCCTGGCGGATTTTGTGCGGCCACCGGAAGGCAATTTCAACATTGCCCTCTTGCAGTGGAGCCTTTTAAAGGCCTTAGAGATAAATATGGGGTCTAATACTAGCATTGCCTAAAACTGGCTCCACAGTTTGGCTCCAAGGGCAGGTATTTGCTGAGCTAGAGGTATCACCTGCCATCTAGGTTGCCATTTTTGGTTGCAGGGCCAAAACTAAAGTTTATCACTTAGATGCAGCAAGATTTGGCTTGATCAAATTAAAAAAACAACAACCACACACACAGAAAGCAGCAGTGAGTCAAATAAACTCCACCTTAAAAGGTTTAAAACCTATGACACCTTCCTGCCAGGTCTTCTCCCACACCAAAATGTTTGCAGAATCCTGCAGTGCTATACATCTGTTTAAATCAGACCATATTTACACAGACAATGGCTGATAGAAACTGGTTGTTTTTTTCTTGCATAACAGAGTAGTTGGCAGCTGGCCAACCTATGTAAAACTGCTAAGAAACTCCCACCTCCTGTCCAGCCACATCTGGAGAAAAAAACACCATTCAGGGTATTTTTATGAAAGAGGGAAAGGGAGTTTACAATTTTCTTTTTCTTCTTCTGGGGTTGATTACATATCTGTCTTCTGCAGTTTTGCTGTTAAGAGCTTGCAGATCAGCGATGTACTTTCTACTTGAAGGGACAAGTTCTTAACCAGCCATCTAACAATAAACTCAGGAAAAGTGCTATATCCTCGTCTCCTCAGGCCTTGCACTTGCATAATTCAGTCTTCCATGCCATAAAGCACATACCTGCACAAAAGCAATGCCAAGTCCCACGGCTCCAATAATTTTCAGGTGTTCCTGGATAAAGTTCTCCAGCTTAGTGATGCAACCACCCTGGGAAGAAAATGACAATTTCAAGTTTAAAACATGCATTCTTACCCTGCATTTTTTCTTCTGCTGCTGTTAAGATGTCCATATTGATATCAATTATGATGCACAAGCAGCAAAAAATAAATAAATACAGGCTGGTATACATGAAGAGAATGCTGTCTGGTCAGAACTGGAGGCTTGGCTCTCTGGAGCAGCAGCATTCACCTTTAAACCTGGAATAGCTGGCACCACAAAGAGATGAAGCCAAGCACAGTGTTTGGGAAGATTAATAACTGACTGCCTCATCTCGAAAATGTTGCCTTTGGCTTCCTGCCTGCTCCTTCCTCAGCCTTGCCAGATCACTGCAGAAAGAGAAGCAACAGCTGGGCTGCAAGGCAACTATTGTAAGGTGGAGAGACTGTTTGGCACTTATCTTTGAACTACATGTATATTAATCGTTCCACCTGTGAACTCAGTGCTGCATAGGTAATATTTTTCCTTCTCACTTGATCTTACCCTGTGAGGTAGGTCAGAATGAGAAAGGGTGACCGGCCCCAAGGTCCCCCCGCTGTAATTCATGGCACACTGGGGATTTGAACCAAGGCCTTCTTGCTCTTACATGCATAGAACAGTGGCACCAGCATTACAAACATTGATCCTCACATTATGGTAGCATTCCAAAGGAGCGAAACATGGGTGCAGGTCTTACAAGGATCAGACTAAGACCTAGTAGAGACAGTGGCGAAGAGATGCAAATTCAAAGCCTGCCATTTTCAGAATGAAGCTCCACTGGGACATACCCTCCTTGACTCCTACAGCTTCTCAACATGATGTGCTCCTCATTGAACTTTTTAAAGATTTGTGACTACAGAAGATTTGTTACAGTCCACATCCCATTCTATTGACTGCAATTGTCTGAAATTGGGAGACACCATTTTCACCATTTACTCTAGGTGAACTCTGGAGTATATCATCTTGATTATGGTGGTTTCATCTGCTCTACATATTTATAGACTGCCTTATATTTCTGGAACAATGTTCCACAAAGTTCTTTTCAACAAAAAATACTGTCTGAAAATAGTGTAACAACAGCCAGTATCATGGGCCGGTCAAGCTTCAAAAGCAGAATGAAAGGAAATGTAAGAGGGTAGGAAATTTCACTGATACTTCCAACTTTGTAGAAACAAATAGAGTCTAAAGTTGTTTAAATATCAATTGGAATGACATTTTAAATGACCCTGCCCCCCAAAGGCTCACAATGCAAAAAGAGAAAAGCAAGACAATGGGGAGGAGAAAGAGTGGTATGGGACGGAGGCACAGGAAAACTGAGGAAAGAAAAAACTAAAAACTGAGGAAAGTGGTGTGGTCTCCCTTCTTTTTCCCCCTCAGTGCTTCACTCATGCACAATTTTGAAAAGCAGCTGTGATTTTTAAATTTTTTTAACCTGGGTTCAGCAGCTAGCAAGCATGCCCAAAGGCACAAGACTAAGTCTGTCTCTGCCTGACCAAATCAAGCTGAGCTGCAGACTTTATTCATGCTCCTCATATCATCTAATCCCCCTTTGAGCCCCAATGAAAATGATTGCTTTGTCATCATTTTCTTCTGGCAGAACACTCTGCAGACTGATAGGCTGGAAATTGGAATTTTATGGTTAAAAAACCCTTTGAGGCATTTTTGAGTGGAAGAGGGGATACTTTTTTAAAAAAACATGTTTAGGGCTCATAAGTTCAATCCATTGTGTACCAAGCCCACATTTCTCCCATTTCATATCTGGAACCTCAAAAAGAACAAAATGGCAGCAGCACAGGTCAGTCTTGGTTGTCAAAGTGGATTAGGCCATCACTACAAAGGAATCTGAATGCTTCCTTTTTATATATATTTATTTAATGTTCTGGCCTGTTAGTGGACTACAGCTTCCAACAGACCCAGCCTAGTGCACAACTACTGCTTAGGGATGTTGGGGAAATGCCACCCAGCAACATCTGGAAGGCTGCCATTTTGCCCACCCCCTAATTTAGATCAACAACATCAGGCACAGTAATGCAATATGAACCACAGTCTGAGTTTTATTGCATTTGATGCCTTGTTTGGTTGTTGATTTGTATGAAATGACTACCGATAAAAGTACATAAGAGACCCAGCATGGTATATTGGATACAGCCTCAGACTAAGATTGAGGAGACCTGGATTAAAATCCTTGCTTAGCCATGGAAACTTACGGGTGTGGTGGTAACAGCAAAATTACTCCTAAAATATCTCACATACATCAAAAACTCTATCAGTGCCACCACACATTGAATGCAATTTGGCAGCACATAACAACACCACCAAAGTACTTCTGACCATTTATCTTGTCAGTAGGGGAGGCAGCTTACATTTGGATTTTATTTTTACCTCTTCTTTGTAGATATTTGAAGGATGATCTCTATCACCGCAATTTTTCGTTATTGTCTTGCAGCAGCTGTCTGGGACCTTCCTCCCTTTACCTTCAGCAGACTTGATCCAATCACTGTCACTCCAATCTGTATAATTGTGGCTTCCACAGCATTTGAACTGAGCATGCAAGCAAAAACGTAATATGGGTGAGCCAAATTTGCACCGTCCTTTCCCCAAAAGAAGTTACAACACTCCTTTGTTTATGACAAAACCATACATCTTGCTCCCTCTGCCTCTGGCCTGTACTACTCAATGCTCCCTGAGGCAAAATACAACTCGCCAGTCAGACAATAAACAGGAGGCTTATTGAAGGTCTTAGCAGCTACCATATGTAGCTAAGCACATTTCTTATCAGTAGTGCATTTGACTGTGCTGGCACTTCTGCAATGCAAGAACTCAGATTTGCCTACACAATTCTAAATAGAGTTCTTAAATTCTCCATAGACAGAAAAGTGGATATATCAACACAGTTAGGAGGTGGGTGGAGAGAGAGTTGAATATACCCTAAGAAAGTCAGAAAAATAAAAATTTCAAAAACGTATAATGGCTGACACCATTTAAAACTTTTTTTAAAAGCCAATACCTTTAGAGGAAAAAAGAGGTATCACTGAATTTGTCTGTTAGTTTAACCATATGCTTCTCTTTTACAAATTCCTGCTTCAGGAATGAGGCCAACAATACTAAAAATATACTCCCTGTCCAGCATCTCTTGGTCAGATATTCTAAAACAGAAAGCATGGGAAAGTAATGACCCATAGACAGTCCAAATGAGAGATCTAGAAGTGTTTTGCAAATGTAAAGCTAACTTCAAACATCATTATTTCTAGAAAACCAGGGCTCTTATGCTTGGTTCACACTGCACGTCAGTAGCCACTGTTTCATGTTACCCACGTGACCGTACTTATGCCTCCTTCCTCTTCTTAAATCTCCCCAGAAAACTTATTACCTTTCAACATGTTATAACATGCATATATTTCTTGGTATCATGAGCCTCCCCCCAGCAGGGTACATCAAAAGTAAACATAAGGCAATCTTTTGAAAAACAAAAACTGAAACATTCAATTTTTTTTTAAAAAAAATTTGTTTACATTATAATATTTGTCTTCTAATTGCTATTGTAAGATTGCCGGATTAGAACTGAACACAGAACAATTCAAAAGCCATTTGAAGTACTGTATTAATGATTCATGATTAAATATTAAAAATGATTTAAAACATTGGCCAGAATCATACTGGTGTTAGTACAAATTCTGTGCATCTGATGGGGCTAACTGAATCTAACTGGTGAGGTGCTGGTGCACAGTCATCTTGGCTGCACAATGAGGCACATGACCAAGTAGGTACATGACCTTGTCAATTAGCTGCAAGAAGTTCTGCAAACCTTACCACCAATAGGTTTCTGTCCATTATGAATAATCTAATCAATACAAGGAAAAGAGCAGTAAGAATAATTACTGAGGAGGAAGTGCCAAGTACATTTTCAGGAGACAAATGAGGACAAACACTGTTTCTGCCTCTCTAAACTGGCTGCCTGAGATGGAGCTCCTCCTTTTCCTCTTCTGAACAACTTACAAGCAAGAGCACAACCTTCCATCAGCTCCGCAACATCCAAGAGCCAAAACAGAGAATTCCAGCATGCAGAGGAGGCACTGAACATCCTCGCCCACTCCCCCTCAACCTGTCCATCTTGAGGAGGAAGATCCAAAACCTATGAAAGTTTCTATACGCTTTCAACTGAATGTATTTCATATCATGTTGAGGTTCCAAAATATGGTCAGCAAAGTATGTATAGAAACACCCTGTTGTGTTGGAACTGTTGTGACTTGAGGTTCCAAAATATGGTCAGCAAAGTACGTATAGAAACACCCTTCAGATCTTCCTGCTTATATGTGGGATTGTTGTGACTGCACAGAGGGAACACTGGGGGGGGGGAGCATGAGACAGAGCTAGCGCACATGCCCTTGCACCTCCCAACACAAATGGGAATTCCCTCTCCTGGACTAACGCTTGAGCAGGACTGGCATCTCTTTGCAACTGCAGGAATTGGTACACCACCTCCAGGTGAGCTCATAGAGAATGTTGCAGAGCTTTTACTTTAACATCCCTCCCAGCCTCAGCACCTCCACCTCAGATCAGAGTGGGATTGTTGATGCCACTGCCCGAACTGGGAAAGTAGAGGACGGCTCCTACATCTCTTGGGGTGTGCCTCCAGAGACTCAAGAAGATACTTTTTTAAAAAATGAAAATCGTACATCCCCCATAACCTTCCGAGTTTCCTCAACTTACCTCCTGCTGCAGCTTGTCCACTGCGCTGGTCACACCCTCTTCTCCCTCCTTCTGGTATTTCTTGGTCATTGTGTCCTTCAGATTTTGCTTCAGCTCTGCATTCAGCTACACAGAATGGGGATGAAAAGTCAATACAGAGATTACTCTTCTTGTATTAAGTTCTCTGGGTAATCATTGCAACCAGCTTTGCTCCAAGGCTATTTTCATTCAATGTGAATTGGCAATCAGAGTGAGTCAGTGGATCGTAAGTCCAATTTTGAAAGACACAAATTGAGCAGTTATGTCTCCATCGCCACCCATAACCATCCCAGTCAAAAACCGAAAGTCTAGAACAGGATTTCCTACGGTTCCTTTTAAATGATGTCCGCTCAACAAGGCACTCTACATTACAAACCGCCTAAGACATGAGCACATGTTCCAGCATTACAATAACAATTCATTGTGTGGTGTCAAGTTGATTCAGACTTATGGCAACCTGTTCTAGGGTTTTCTTGCCATAGAGTACACTGAAGTGGCTTACCCTGCCCTTCTTCTGGTTGTGCTCTAGGACCACGTAGCTTGCCCAAGACCACGTAGGTCGGCTTTCCTCCTACAAAGTACAGTGTGGAACCAAACTCCCAATTCCTGGTTCTCTAGCTCCGGGGTCCCCAACCCTGGTCCACGGCCCGGTACCAAGCTGTGGCCTTGGCAGGACTGGGCCAGGAGACAGATCTCTCACCCACCCCCATGCCCTCTCCATGCACGCATATACACACTGCCCCCCACATGCACACATGGGTGCCCCACACATGCATGCACAGGTGCCCCATCCACCCATCCACATGCACACATGGGTGCCCCACACATGCATGCCCCATCCACCCATCCACGGACCCAACCCCCACCCCAACCGGTCCGCAGTTCGGAAAAGGTGGGAGACCACTGCTCTAGCTCACTGAACTAACTGGCCAGCTACTCAGGTATTACCTACATAAATAAAATAAAAAATTTTTCATGTGGAAAACAGTGTATCTGCAGAGGAGAAACTCCTTACATGCAAGCAGAACATCTGCCTCTTGATATGTGTAGGCTTTCCTAGGAAAAAGAAATGGAGTCGGGGGACGACTGGGTGTTCTCATCTATATATAGTGATTCTGTTCAGGCAAGCAATGCCTGAACAGAGCTAGAATGCTTGAATTTAAGGTTATAACTGCGAGAATGACTGGATGGCTCAGTGGTTTAGGTAACTGGGTGTGGAGCCAGAGGTTAGGAGCTCGATTCCCTACTGTGCCTCCTTGACAGGGGTTAAACTCCATGATCCATAGGGCCCCATCCATCTCTACAGTTCTAAGATGATGATGTTGATTATGATTGTCAGGGGATAATCAGATTTACTTCTACAGAAAATACATCTAAAGTGCCCAAGGTTCAACTACTCCAGCTTAACTGGGTTTGTGGGACAGGCTGTCACTAGCCTCAGTGGTTTCAGAAACAGAGATTCTATGGGGTCTTCATGAACTAGAGGCTATCCCTCCCAAGGTATGCATTTCACTATTACTGAACAAGGTGAATACGCTTTTTCCTAAAATGGATATAGAAATAAGGAGCTGCCTTATTTGGAGACAGACCGATGACCTTGCTTATAGCACCCGTAGGGTCTTACTTTCTCACCCCCATCATCTGGGTGTCATTGGGTGAATGCCAGGAACTTCACCTGGGAGCCTTAGGTTTATCACAGAGACACTTGGAGAAAAAGAATTGCCTAATCAAAACAAAGCTGGGTAATGTATTTCTTTATACATTAAATACAAATTTAAGCAAATCCTTAAAATGCCACTTTCATAACAGGGTGGCCTGTTGTAGCAGGGACTGGAGGGGCATTTGCTTATGTCAACAACTTCTTTGATGTAAGCCTGGAAGACGAAAGAGAGTATAGAGGGCAACCGTAAGCATAAATACAAGAGGAGAAAAGCATGCTGGCACCAAAAGCAAAACATTAAAGAGAGACACTCAATCAGTAGATAACTGTCAGGAGAAACAAAAGCAATTACCTGTGGGTTCATAGGGAAGAACTGCAGCGTGTAACAAAAGCAGCAAAAACACATACAGTTTATATGCACATTGGGAGGATGAGACAGCAAGGGAATAAACAAGAAGAAGCACCGCAAAAGATAAGACATTTTGAGCCCCAGGAATGAGGGAAAGGGAGGGCTTGCAAAAAGAGGGGCAGCATGCAATGCAGAGATGATTCACACAGCCATCTGCGTCCATCCCCCATAGTTCAAATCTCAGCATGCCATCACCCCATCCCTGTTGCCCTCAAAAATGATGCCACTAAATTCCCTATTCTTGAATTGTACTCTCCTGTCAGTTTTCAGGTGCATTATATTCTGAAATCTATATATTTTGCAATGTAACAGATTTTTGTAACTGATTCTTATAACTGAAACGTGGGCAATACTGTGTCTAATTCCATGTTATGCACTGTGTGCAACCCTTTGGAACACAGCACCTCTCCTAGGTCGCAGAATTCATCGAGCCTTTTATCATGTCTTTGCCAAGCACTACCAGTCCCAGCCAGGCTTGACTATTTGGGACTTGCCACAGGCTTATAGTCTACCCCTATCCTCCCCTTTCACACACCCTCCACCATCTGGTTGGCGGTGTAAACACAGCTTGCCACAATATTTGGAAGATCAGATCTTCTCATCGTATAATTTTTGTCTTTACTCATTCTCTGATTTAATTGTAATTATTTTGCTTCACTGTAAGATGTCAAGAATACTACAATGAAGGCAGGACACAGATCAAATAAATAACATATGATTAGGAGCTGGGCATTCACACAGTTATCCTCACATTGTGATTTTTGACACAGGATTTCCTTTGAATGTCTCTGTCTACTGAAGCCAGGCAGGTCTCCTTGGCCACAACACCCCAATAGTGGCATGTTCCCTCCCAGAGAAGCTTGCCTGACACCAGGGAATAGTAATAACTAGGTGCGGTCAAGTTGATTCCAACTTATGGAAGTCATCAGAAGTGATTTCCCAGTCTCTCCCGCTGGAGGTGCTCTGGGACCATACGGCTTGCCCAAGGCTGCACAGGTAGCAGGGCACATACTCCCATGAGCTACACATGCCAAGAGAGATCTCCACTAATCCTTTTGCCTTGAGCCACAGTGGGGATTCGGACTCCTGTTCCCTAGCCCTGTTGTCCTCTACCAGCTGTCAAAGACTTTTTTTTTATTTGTCAAGGACTATTACACATCTCTTGATTGGTATAATTAATTCTCTAACATTGTTTGCTCATTTTAATGCTGATACTTCTATCATTTTTCCATGTTTAAATGTCTCTTACACATGAAATATTCTAACAGAGTGGTTCTTACCTTTGTTACTCGGATGTTTTTGAACTGCAACTCCCAGAAACCCCAGCCAGCACAGTTGGTGGTGTCATTTTAATGCTGATACTTCTATCATTTTCCATGCTTAAATGTCTCTTACACATGAAATGTTCTAACAGACTTGTAATTTCCGCCCATCTGAGGGTAGTATCCTGAGTAACCCAAGGTTAAGAACCAGTGGTCTAACAGACTTGTAATTTCTGCCCATCTGAGGGTAGCATGGCCTCAAAATAGGCTGACAACATCAGACAGAATGTGTGATACTGGAAATTCTAACGTCTTCCACCTGAGTTTAAAGGGCCAGAAGGACCCAACACAGAGAGAAATGTTGAGGATAAGAGTTCCAGGCTCCACCCAGATAATCTGCCGCCTTTGAATTACTATGCAAGGTTGCTTTTTGCTGTGGAGACTAGAACCCAACAGCCTGAGATAAAGCCCAGGGAATTAATGTTTTGTCATAATCAGACATACATCTTCCTACAGAGTGACCAGAGTTGTGCACTTGCAGTTGAATCACAATCACAATGAAACACTAACGATCTCAAAGACATCCATGCCATCCATTCTATATCACATCTCCTGCCCTCTGTGAGATCTTGGGGCTTCGCAGGAGGTATTTTCAGATTACACAGTGATGCAAACAAATAACATTTTGCTAGCAAGAAAACATGATTAGGCTACTACTCTACATTACATGCAATTGGATTGTTAGTCATTCCATTTCATTCTGCTCTATCAAGGGGAAAGATAGAGCAATGTACAGGAAATTGGTATTCTAAGCACAGATGCAGCCAGTCAGATGCCTTTTTAGAAGGTACTTTCATAGATCATGAAACTGGCTCCAGATCATCTCAGTGCTGATCAGTTTTCATGCTTATATTAAAAATGGCAAACACAGAACATTAAGGTGGTTGGCAAGCAAGTATCATTTTGTTGTGTTTTGCTTTTAAAATCATACTATATGCTATGAACATAGATTTTTGTTCTTGCTGCTCTCTTTATGCTTCGATTTACTAAAATTTGCAATATCACAAAACAAACCTATTTAGGCAAATTGCCCTACATAAATGCATATAAATGTAGCTTGAAGTGAAACACATTTTAAGACTCTTCTCTTCTATATAAAAGAAAACACTGGGAAGGGAATAGGAAGACAAGGACCCTTATCAAACTCCACCAGCAACTGAATTATGATCCTCTTTCAATATACAGTGTGGAGAATACCAATCACTTTGTCAGACTGTGCTTTTGATGTAATGCACCACTCTCTTCTATTGGAGGTGGCATGCACAACATACATGCTTAAACAAGGCAGTGTAAGGAGGAGCTCCACTCTTAATGGCCTCCTCTCTACAGTCATAGTGTGAAGGCAGTGCTGATCGGCATGAGGCATTGAGGACATAGAGAGAAGGCATGGCAGAAGAACAGAGTTAACTTTCTAGATGGAAAACTGAGTACTCATATCTTGGTGAAGAGCACTGGGGAAAGTCCTGCAAGAGGGGAAAGCTATTGTGCATTCAGCATTGAAACTACAGCCTGTCCTACCAATGAGCTTCTACTTGTTAATAACTGTTCTTACCTGCTGGTAATAGATGTAGGCCAATATTCCAGCAATTATCTCAAGGAGGAAAATGCACAGCAGCAAAAAGAAATACTGCAAAAGAAAAACAAACCAGTTAAACTAGAACATAATGTCACTGGCAAAAGACAAACTTGGAAACTCTGCTTAAAGCCATGCAGAAATGCTCAAAGATAACAAATAAATCCACACTTCCCTCTCCCTAAAAATATGGTGTTGGGAAAAGAAAGAAGTGCCAGTGCTGAACGATACAGAAAACTGAGCAGGACAGAAGAGAGATGGCGGCTGTGATCCAAAGCTCAACTGAAGATGCAACTGTTGGATTATTCGGATTTATTTCAGGGGTTCCAGCCATTCTATAAAATTAAGATATTTTGCTCTATGTTTCTTACTATTAGAATTGAATTACTCCATGAACTCTTCAGGAAATAAAAAGGCAGGTCATGAGTGGGGAAATCCCTTTGACCTCCACTCACTCATTCAAACTAGTCTAGTCAGACCTGAATAGGAACAGCCCAAATGAGCAGTGCTCTATAGAAAGTAAGCCAGAACAAGAGATTTTCAAGCAAAGCAGAGGCCCCAACCATTCCAGTCTCACGTCTCTACTGACCAAAAAGAGACTCCAAATATATAAAATCACCCACATCTACTAGTGACAGTGAAAGTTTTTCAAACCAGATGGCTACAGACAGCAACGAATGACTATTTCAGGGAGATGCAGTATGCAGAAGGGGAAAGGTTACCAGCAACTCTACCCAAATGAGGCCTTTAAAAAGCTAAATAAATAAATAGAACACAGCTCTTTATTGAATGAGAACTGCCAAAAGAAAGGAGAATTAAAAGGACAAAAATTGTACATGGGGATTTTCAGACATAGATCATCCTGTAAGACAGACTGCACCACGTTCTACATTACTATTCTTGCTTAGAAAAAGACTGAATTCCTGTTTTTCTTGCCTTTTTGCAAATTGGATCCAACAGTTTTGTTTATACTGTATATTGAGCGGACAGGGAAAAGGAAGTATTTCTGTAGTGTAACCAAGAGGAACAAATACAATATGGGCATTATGGCAATCTGCAGATCTCCTGAATAAACAAGATTATTTCACAGGTCTCAACTATGTTCCAAATTAGTCTCTGCCTTTCTTTGCTGCTACCTTTCCTCCATAACATTCTACACTGATATTACAAGGTTAGTGTACGTTGCACAAGCCATGTCTGATATAGTGGTCAGTGCACAAATATTGTTAGATATAACAACAAAATGAAGTGAATATATAAAGCTCCTCTATAGAGACTCATGTAGGCAAATATCATCCCCTCTAACTGGCAAGGACTCTTCAAAATGACAAGGCAAGAGGCCCTTCTCAGCTTTGCTGCATGAAATTCTTTTAAAAGCACAGCCTGGGGATTGAACTTTGGACTTTCAGCATGTAAAGTATGTGCCCTACCCATGAACTGTGGCCATCCTCCTCAACAGCTGCTCTCTTGCCAATGCCACTTGTCTTGAAATGCAACCTTTTCAACGGACATCATTAGAAGCTCATCACAAGCTTGTTAGGTGACAGTGGAATGCTTAATTACTAAGGGCAGAGAGAGGCGTTTGGAATAGCTGGGCTTCTGGGAGCTCCCACCCGAACAAAAGTCAACAACGTGGTTACAGCAGCACACGAAAAACAGGCCAAATTGTTAGGCAGCTGCTTCAAATGAGGGGGGAAAATGAGTGAAAGCTGCTAAGAAAGATATCTTTCAGAAATAAGAGTATTCAATAAAAGTCAACAACGTGGTTACAGCAGCACAAGAAAAACAGTCTTCATTGCAGGCCGAATTGTTAGGCAGCTGCTTCAAATGAGGGGGGAAAATGAGTGAAAGCTGCTAAGAAAGAGAGACCTTTCAGAAATAAGAGTATTCAAACAACCATCATTCCACTACTTGAACTAGGAAGTGGTTCTATATCTTTTGGATTCCACCAGGCCCCATACCAGCAAATTTATCATAGCTGTTTTGAATGTGTCCAGTTAGCAATGGACGTCCATGAAACATAACACCTAGAAATGTCACACTTTTCCACCGGTTTTTTGCACCCACATGAAGGTGCGAAGTTTTGAAATAGAAATCAGATGTACAGGAAGGTTTAACCCTCCTCTATCCATATACGATGTCCTTACTAAAGACTAGTTAACACACATTTCCTTTAATGTTAAAAAGGGGAAGAATTTAATTACTGGATGGACCTTTATGAGGCAGTTTGGGGAAGAGGACATAGATATCTAACAAGCAAGGAGGCAAAATTTGTGACTCCAAATGATTGACCTCCCACAGGAGAAATATTCACACAAATTCATCGCAGCAATCAGTGACCCTGCTCTTTAATAGTAAAGATATTCCTGCATCAGAAGCTCCTTCTCAGTTTCTCTTGAATTTAGTCTCTGGGCAAGAGGGGAGGCAGGTCACTCCTCATAAAATGGAGAGACTAACGGCAGGTGTCTATTCGTTCAGGGAAGTGGCATCCTCCTAGTTCTTCATGGGAATGTCTCGTTTAGTCGTTTAGTCGTGCCCGTCTCTTCGTGACCCCATGGACCAGAGCGCGCCAGGCCCTCCTATCTTCCACTGCCTCCCAGAGTTGGGTCAAATTCATATTGGTTGCTTCGCAGACACTGTCCAACCATCTCATCCTCTGTCGTCCCCTTCTCCTCTTGCCGTCACACTTTCCTAACATCAGGGTCTTTTCCAGGGAGTCTTCTCTTCTTATGAGATGGCCAAAGTATTGGAGCCTCAGCTTCAGGATCTGTCCTTCCAGTGAGCACTCAGGCTTGATTTCC